CAAAAATCAAAGAAGAATCTTTAGAATACCAGCTGGTATCAAAACATTGGACAGATTTTTACTGTCTGAGAGCAGATTTCTCCCATCTGGGCAGGTTTGAAGCTAGAAAAACAATTCACTAAGGAATTTAAGAATTTATGTTTGGGGTGAAAGAGATTTCTTGGTGCATTCTGTATGAACATGATGAATTAAAAATGTCAAAATACTAGATACATCTGGCATTTGATTGTTGATAAAACTGAACTGGTATCAGAATGGCTCTTCAAGTTTGTCAATGGCATTCAGAAATGATCAAAATATCGGCATTAATGTGTAGACTGTAAATGTGTAGCAGATTTTTCTGCTTATTGTAAGATGAAATGTGTTGTTATTGTAAAATGAAATGAAGGTTTACATACCTAGGTCTTTTGATTCTTACTGGAACTTGAAGAATAAAACCTGTTTGCATGTCTTCCTTAGTCTCATTGGATTGCATTCATTCCATTTCTAAAAGCAGGAAAACAGATTCCAGTTTGAAACAGAAGACAATGTTTATTTATTAGTCAAACAACCTGATTATGTCAGATCACAGTTTATTTAGGTTTATTTATTTATTTTGGTTGATCAGTTAACCTTCACCTACAAACACTCTCTCCTGGGGTTTGATTAATCAGCTCTGGTGTTTCAACTATCTCTACTGACGGACCAACTATCTGTACACAGGGCCTGAAGATTGATCAGGTATTCTTCAATATAAACATACACAGATTCTTCCCTCATTTGATAGAACCAATCTGGTGGTCTCAGGTTCAGAAAGGTTGGAGCAAATCAAACTAAATATCTTATAAAATTTTGTATTTAACCGCTATCAAACTTCTCTTAAATTTCTTGCCCTCTGCCCATTACTGTCTTGGTGTCCATGCAGCACAAAACACATTCAAGTGCATAACAAAGGTTTGAGCCTTGACAGTAATCTGCTTATAAATGTTGTAATGCAACTGAATAAACTTGATCTGGCATTTAATTTTGTGTCATAAAGAGCCACAGTATTGCACTATTGGTTATTCATTGACTTGAAAATTTAGTTTGGTTGAATTGAAGAATCATCTAGAAGACAGTTTTTAAGCCAGTTATGACAGGACATTAACAATTTATTGTAAATTTGTGACTATAGTGCATTTTTTTTACCCTTTAAAAAGCTATAAAGAGTTACGCGCCTTAATGTCAATGACAATTTTTTTTTTTTATAAAATCAGCAAATAAGGTTTTTATGTTTTGTGTACTTGGATGAAGATTTGGGGAACATTTTTCTTTCAAAATGTCAACATTATTTTAGTAGTTTTCTTCTCTTGACCATTAATTTTAGTCTGTAAATGTTATAGGTTCAAAACATGCGATTATTACCATTATGTCTGAACTTGTTTTTGTATGATTCATTATATAAAATATTTCTCACTATCTGACTATATTTAGTAGTATACTACTAATCTAAACTTCACATTTTACCTAACATTTCTACTTAACATGTCTCTTCTGATGTTCATACAGATTTAAAGGTAAATTTCCTTGTAAAAAAGCTTAACCTTTTTAGTTCTGAGTTTTGACAAGATGACATTTACATTTAGCTACAGTGTTGTTATCTAGCAGCAACACAAGCTGCTTGATTATTTTTCAGTATATTTGTGCTTCTGGTTGAGCAGACGCAAGGGTTCAAAGAGCTAAACAGAAGATGAGCTTGGATTTATATGCAAATTATGCGCATGCTTTGCAGGGTTTTTTGGTTTATGAGATGGATTATGAAAATTTAGACTTGCCATAAAAAAGTAGAATTTTAAGAGAAAAGGAATACAACTACCCCAACTAATGTCGCTTAATGGACAAAGTATACATAAACAGACGTAAATAATCATTCAACAAATTGAGGTTTTCTCAGAATGAGCATCTTCTGCTCACTGCTCAATAACATCTCCACATTTTCTGATTTGATGAATATTTGACATGGATATCTACATATATTTGTTATGTTTTGCAATATCTAACTACTTTAGTAATAGTGGTATAATAGAAAATCAGAAAGTACTTCTTTAAGTCTTAAAAAATGTGAAAATGTAAGTCTGGAAAGTAGCTTAAACATTTTCAAGTAGATTAGTTTAATTGTTCAAAAAGATTTTTTTTTTTTTGAAAGATAAAACAAGTAGATTATTTCATGGTATTTATTTTTTGTGTCTTTCTAATTATTTTAGAAAAGAAAACAGGTTCTTTGTTGTAAAATTTTGTTTGGTCTTGTTAAGTGTCACTTGAGGCTATTCTTGTTTGTCCTAGGCCCACCACAATTTTCCAGATTCCTGCATTTTCTCAGAGATGTCTTGAATTCCAACTTAATGAACCTGAAGAAGATAATTGCAATTTTTTGCTATTCATTGTTGGATTTGAGCTTTACAAATTTGTTTTATTTCTGATTTGAATGGCCCGTTATTTTTTTGCAATTCATAGCAGGAGGTCAATTCAATGGAAGGCCTGACCAGCAGTAGTCAGTAAAACTAATTATGTCTGTACATCTACAAACAAATATTTATATTTTGGACATTCCAATTGTTCTCATCTGTGTTTTCTCTTTTGACAGCTAATTAATTTTGTTTTTTTATCAACCATAACATTTTTGCCACGCCAGTTATCAGCTCTTCTAGAAGTAAGGTGAGATTGGTCTATTGTTTTTAGAATAACATAGGGTCAATTTACTCACTTAAATATACTTGGCATCTGGTTCATTTGAAATACTGATAAACTGAACTATTTTTAAGTTTCACTTTGTTTCTGCTGAGAATCTAGTATTTTATTTATTGATGAAACAGCATTTTATAGCAAAAATTATTGAGGTAAGGGTTAACCCTCTAAAACCTGGATGTTTATAGAGGTGAAAGTCAACACCAGTCCAATTCTCTTTAGCACTGGCCATGGCATCAGAATTTCTCTTACCTTGAGGAGGTAATCACTTAGCAGACGGCAATCCAAATATATAGTAATTTTGTTTGATGAAGGAAACAAGTCAATTAAAGTGATGAGTAAGATGGCCAAAATTTTAGAATTGTCAAAAGTCAAGTTTTTATGCAATTTGCCCCTGGAATTTTTGACTTCTCTCTTATTCTGTTTTCAATACTTCTTATCCAAGAACTGACCTGAGTAAAATTGATCGTTACCAAATTAGGAGATGATTTGTTTTGTTGTTAGGAAAGCAAGGAATTATTAATGACTTTAAGACATAGAAAAAATCAATAGTGATTGGGTGAAATGATTGATAAATCATGCTTAAAATGGTTAATAGGTTATACAGGACTTATACAGGATTTTTGGATAATGAAATTGTCTTGCTTGTACAGATTTTTAGTACTTTACACTGAACTCTTCAGAGAACTTATCTGAAACTTTACCAAGTAGAGCAAAGATATTTGTGCATATCGATTTCTGATTTAAACATGTACACACCACTGCAGGACTGGGATAGTTAAGTAACAGTGGCAGAGCAGAGGGGGCAGGTGCCCCCCCTTGCAGCCCCAAAAGCAAGTTTTTCGTGCAAAAATCTCATAACTAGGTTAGAGCTTCAGGCAATCTCAGATATCTCGCCCCCTATGGACTTAAACCTGGCTCCGCCACTGTTATGAACGTAGCATCAATTGCTACTGATTCTATCTCCATATAAAGTGGATTGCCCCTGTTGATGTTTCGAATTGGACTTATAAAATATAAAATATCTGTGCTCGACTATACGAATATCCCCAAACAAAATCCTGATCCTAGGAATGGATCTTAGCCTAATACATGTGTTATACAATTATAGCTTCCATTTACTGTTATCAAGTGGGGGTCAAGGCAAATGAATGATCACACAGTGGGTGACGTTTCAAAACTTTATTAGAACAAAACTAAAACAAACCCCTGAAAGTACAATAAATATGATTATATAACAATCAATGAAATGAATAAAATAACTTAATATAACTGCTAATAAATAAAACACAAACTATAATTCTAATGCCACTTTAGTCACACATGATGAATATAAATAATGAAATATTATATATACAAAATACAAAAATACATACCCAGAAGTTGGGGGTTTAAACTAACTATCAAACTGGCAAATAATAAGGTGAAATACCTTAGTTAACCTAGAAATACCAATATTCTTATTAAAAACTATATTTTTACCATATTAATGTGCAATAACTAAAATACTAAATATTTACAACAATTACCACAACTGAACTGGAACTATATGCAAAATACTTTGAGAATTCAAAATGGCTGCCATACACTTTGCTTATATGGCTATTAAGAAACTTTAAAAACCTTATAGAGCTCAATATACAGAATATTATATTATAAAACATACCTTTAAAATACAAAACTGACAGAAGTAATCTTCACACAAACAACACAATCCATGAAATATGAATAAAATAAACAGTGAAATTTGTAAAATACAACTTTCCCGCTAAAACCTGATACAGTGAAGAACTGAAACAGTCCTTTCTACATGAAAACAAAGTAAGGACAAAAAGTAGAAAAGATAGAAAAGTAAGAATGTTCAGAGTGATGAGATCACATTGGTGAGTTGAACAGAAGCTCATCAATTGATAAAGTATAAAGAAGATAGAACAGGGTGAACAGATTTGAGTTGATTGTTAGTATTTGTGACTATGTGTTCAGTGTGTAATTTTGTAAATCATTAAAGTTGTGCTGAAACATAAAAACCTGTACACTATATTACATTACCAATCTACAATTCCAATGACATTCATCTTGTCAAAGTTCTCTGGAATATCAGGAACCATGTACATGTGATTGGGAATCAGAATGGTGCTTATACAAGTTCTAAGTGTCCTGATACACAAAGATATGATTAGCTCTTTTGAAGTGTTTGAAACCTTGAAACTGCAAAAATTGAAATAGAACAATTCAGCAACAATTGGATTATAAAAAAGTTGCAGAATATTGTATAGTGATTGATGTTATAATGAATTAATCTTACATTAAACAAGAAAACACCATTATCTCATTATGTAACTGTCAGAACTAATGGAATTCGCAGACAAATTGCAGGAATTATTGGCATTAAACTAGCAGGAGTTGTTAAATTGGCCTTGATAAGACAAAAAAATGAAAGACTGCAGATATTATTGAAGAATAATAACAGATATGTGTAAAATATTCCACTCTGGCATGAAATTACTATTTCATCTATCTCCTGTTCACTGAGTTCTCATGCTTTGATGATATGAGGCCTGATAACTATTGGCGTCTGCACTGTAGGGCAAATAGGGTCACTTGACTCCTTGTGAAAAATGGCTCAAAATTTCATAGTCAAAACATGTTTAACTGAACAGTTTTCTGAATGTTTAGATTTTTTACGGAAATTCATAATTTCAGGGTCAAATTTGACTCCTCTAACAAAAATTCTGAAGGCACCCTTGCTAACACCATTATGTAAGTATCTATTTTGAATCATCCTGATGATTGATATATTATCTGTAACACTGCAATAGTTTTTTGGAGCTTTTATCAAAATGATTTAAGTAAATTATCTAACATAGGTGCCGAAAATTGGAAAAAATTAGCATATCATCCATTTTGTAAACTAAGTATCTTAAAATTTATAAAACTCACATTTCAAACCTAGGTGTATTAAATTCTAAATCAGGACTTGTGTCAAAGAAAAAGTAATGTGTAATGATCAGATTTGGATTTTGTTGTATGAGTTTGATGATCTGATTTTGAAATTTGAAATCTCCCTCTTGTAAAATAAAGTATTCCATTTGTTTTTCATGTAACATTATTTATTTATACATTTCTTTCTTGAAATATGACTCCCATTAGTAATTTTGTACATTAAATAATATGGAATCCAATGCGCATGAGAATCTCTGGGGCAAGTTTGTTTTGAGAAACACATTTTACATCAAAAGTTTTTTGAACATAATTGAAACTTCTGAACATTCGAAAGATGATCTGGTAAGTAGTAAAAATTGACCATGGTTTGTTGAAACCTTAGTGTTAAAAGTTGCATATATGTAAATATATAAGATAGCCAACCTAAAGCGTGTAAAGGATAATGAAATATTTTTGTAGTCTATTTAGAGTGTCATATTGCATAAAAATAACCAATGTAAAGTTCTCAGCCAGTCTAGAATGTGTAAAGGGTTATAAGATATTTTAATATCTAGATTATGAAGATACATAATGAAGTTGTAATGGAGTGAATATTGTTTAGATTGGCCTCAGTCCAATTGTTCAGTTTACTATTCTGATAAGGGGTTAGTTTGAGATATTACTTATTCAGTTTGATGGTTGGAATAGTGTGCCCTAGTTCTTCCAGTCAATAACAATTACATAGAGGTAATGCCAAACATGCCATATTCTTTCCAACCATAAAGGCTAAAGATATTAACTTGACAATCACAAATGCAATATAATATCAGGTGTTCAAGGGTAATTTAAGATATTTATGAATACTTAAAGGGACACGTGTGCCATTTTGGGAGGTTGATTTTAGTCTTGAATATATGTAAATAGTAAGGGTATGATATAAAGTAGTGTTATTAGTCCTTGTATTGATTCATTATATAAAATAAACATAACCTTATACTGTAAATAGGGGCTGGTATTAGATAGGGGTTGAAAATTAATGTTTATTGTAATATAGGGGCTCTAATATTAGGTATGGTATTCTTGTAGGGGAGAATTGATAAGGTTCAGCAAATACTGACTGATAGAGGCTCAACTGATCAAAAGTACCGATTTGTTGGTCACACAATAACTGTGTTTCCACTGAGGGAAAAAAAACGCTCTAAGCTAGCTTTTGTGTGTGTGCACTGGGCAAATTGCCGAACGCTTACAATTCGTGAACTGAAAACCGCTCCTTTTAAGTTTGGAAAATTATTGGGGGGGAATGGGTTGGGGCCAGCTTTCACTTAGCCAGTGGAAACAAAATTTCCAGCTTTATCTTGTTCGGCATTAGGGGGCGTGTGGGTCTTTCCTTTTCTTAAACAAAACAAAACAAATTTAGTCTTTCTTTCGTCGATGTAAATAATTCTACATATCTCAGTAACATCAACGGCTATACAGTGGAGGGAAAATTCTTTTTTTTTATCAAATATTAGTTTATTATTTGTTCACTTTTATCTGCTCATGCGCAATAAATTTCCATTGAACATCAATAATGTGTGACTTTGTGATTGAGACTAAAGTCGTTCTAGAGCCATTTTGACTTAGTGTAAACACAGCGCTTTTGGCAATAATGCTAGCTTGTAACTAAGCTTTACTTTACAATTCTCAGTGGAAACGTAATAGTGAGAATTGAACCCCTTGGCACTAGTAAGATATTTATGTGGAATCTTCTAAATTAGATGCCAAAATTTTCTGTTGAAGGAGATTGAACACTTCTGCAAATTGTTTGCAAATACTGAATTAAGAGTTTACATGATAAGTTTTCTTTCTACAAATATTTATTTCACCTTCAATGGCAAGAATGATGTTTTCATTTAATGCATGTAATAGTGATTAAAAACGAATTGCAGGGATATCTGGTGAATTGATTCAAATTACTCTAGGTTACAACAACCTTTCTGTATAATCTTGTGTAATAATTAAAATATAAGCCTGATGAAAAGAATATTGAATTTGTATATAACAGTGTATTGAACAGTGTATTGTTAAATATTGAGGTGTAACAAAAGTAACAGATGCACTATAGATTGTATCAACAGGTGCATTGTAGCATGTATTAAAGTAACATTCACTGTTTTTTTTGGACCAATTATACCCCAGTCTCAGAAACAGGAATTTTTAGGCTAAGCTAATCAGTAAAAATATTCACAGTCACCGTTGAAATTTGAGCCTTCAATACCATGTGTGTCAAGAATTATCTGCGTTTTAAAGTTAAAAAGACAAGTTGTCTTTTCTTGAGACTATGCCATAAATAGAAAAGACACATATGAAATAGAGAGTAAAATTCCTAGTTTGAGGTATTTTTAAAGGAATTATGTGATTTTCGTACATTTCTAGTACTTCTGAAGACTATTTACATATATTCAAGACCCAAATAAACGCCTGAAAATGGCAAACTTGTTCCTTTAAATACGCTCAGTCAATATCTGTTCAATCTATTATAATAAGTTTACTATAATATCGTGATCTATTATGATTGCATGAGTAAGCTTCAAATTAGAATAAAAGTTCACAATGAATTTAAAAAGTGATAATAGTGAGTTTAAAAAGAGTTTGATCAAAGTTATCATTTACAGTATAGATATCATAAGGTAAGATAAAGGTATTTTTTTATATCAACAAGTCTTATCCAAAGGTTCAAGGCTTAAAATGGATTATACTTAATTAAAAACCACAACCTAGACCACAAAATATGTCTGAAGTATTTACACTGGATTAAGTTTAAAGGTATTGTATATGGCTCAATTTTCTACATGTTAATGTCATTATATTCTAATAGTTGAACCTGGATATTCATATTTATAAATATTTGACCATCTGTGAAAGTTTGACACTAAGTAAAATATTTGACTCTCTGTGAAAGTTTGACTCTAAGTGAAAGTTTGATTCTATGAGAAATATTTTACTCTCTGTGAAAGTTTGACTAAGTGAAAGTTTGACTCTAAGTGAAATAATATTTGACTCTAAGTGAAATATTTGACTCTCTGTTAAAGTTTGAATCTCTGTTAAAGTTTGAATCTCTGTTAAAGTTTTACTCTCATTGATATGTATTTGACTCTCAATGAGAACTGAAATATTGGACCTTCACTGTAATATGTAACTCTCAATGTAAACTGAACTATTTGACTCTCAATGAAAACTGATTGAAATATGTAACTCCCAATGTAAACTCTCAATGAAAACTGAACTATTTGACTCTCAATGAAAACTGATTGAAATATATCCCAATGTAAACTCTCAATGTAAACTGAACTAGTTGACTCTCAATGAAAACTGATTAAATATGTAACTCTCAATGTAAACTGAACTATTTGACTCTCAATGAAAACTGATTGAAATATTTCACTCTTAATGAAAACTGATTGAAATATGTGACTCTCAATGTAAACTCTCAATGTAAACTGAACTATTTGACTCTCAGTGAAAACTGATTGAAATATGTAACTCTCAATGTAAACTCTCAATGTAAACTAAACTATTTGACTGTTAATGAAAACTGATTGAAATATATGTCTCTCAATGACATCGGATTGAAATATATGTCTCTCAATGAAATCGGATTGAAATATTTGAGACTTAATAAAAACTGATTGAAATATGTGAATCTCAATGAAAACTGATTGAAATATGTGAATCTCAATGAAAACTGATTGAAATATGAGACTCTGAATGAAAACTGATTGAAATATGAGACTCTGAATGAAAACTGATTGAAATATGAGACTCTCAATGAAAACTGAAATGTTTTATTTAAGACTGAACCTTCTATTATTGTGGACAGTTACCTTTATTTAATTACCATGAAGGTTATTCTTTAAAACTCACCTTGGATAAACCATATATTGTTGATATAGGTCAAGATTGAATAATCCCTATTTATAGCCTTAGTACATATTTTAAAGGGACTTGCAGAGATCTCCTGATTAAGTTTTGAAATAAAGTTTGTGATTCAGATGTCAATCCTTGCTGGTTGTTTTATCATGTTATTGTACTTTTTGTATCAAACAGACCTTTAAATTAGGGTTCTTCACTCTGCAGACTTAGTATGATAAAGATATTTAAGAGTTTGAAATCTTGTTTATTTATGTTCAGATTTGCCCAATAACACACAAAAAGAAGTGCAAAAAAAATTCAGAATTGAAGGACTAAACTTTCACATTTTAGAAATATTCATTCATTCAAGTAAGTGTATGTTAAATGTGACCAGTGTAAATAATTTTCTCTATTCTGTAAAATTTATTATGAAAAACGCTGGCAATATGTTCATTATTATAGGGAATTAGGGCTTGATTTCAATATAAATTTACCTTAGTGTCAGTATAATTTATCAAGTCAACACGAGATAGGATTAAACTAACAAAGATTTGATTATTTAATCTATTTGTCAATATATATTTTGGGTATGTTATGTTAACATAGGTATAGTTAGAAGTTGATTTAGGCTTAAACTAGGGGTTTGATCTCTGTGTAAAATGTTAAT